TATATCGTCCACTTTCAGTGGCCATGTTCCACAGCCATACAGTAAAACAGACTGGACTGCTGTGCGGTACACGCGACCCTTAATAGACAAACGGATATCACGGAGGCGCCACAGGTGGAATAAATTGGCAAAAGACAGCCGGGTCTTTTGTATCCGTGCAGAGATTTCATCGGCCACTGAGCCACCAGGGCTGATCCGACTTCTCAGGCAAGTGAATTGGTCGACATACTCAACCACTTCACTCTTTATTGTTAGCCTTGGTACCGGTGAAGACCAGTCCTGGAGCAACAATTTGTATTTGGGTGGTGAGAACCGCATCCCAAACATTCTCAAATTGCCACTCAGAGTGTTCAGAAGACTCTGCATTTTGTCAGCGTCTTCACCTAGCAGGACTATGTCATCTGCATATTCTAGGTCTAACGAAAATCCCCCTGTAATTTGGTCAACATCTGTGTAACCTGGTGACGAGAAGAGGTTGAAACATACTTGATTGCAAATATACATTTTTGAACTTATTGATGATTCTTGTTTATTTTTAAGTCCGACAGCGTGAAAAGTTGAAATGAGGTCTTTTCAAACGGCTAGCACTCTTTAATTAACAAAATATACGATAAAACTCGGATTAGGGTATCTTTTTAACCTCGCCTGGTTAACTAGTTCACTAGTTTAGGGAAGCCAATCGGCCGATGTGTCTTCTCTCGATGAAAGCGAAAGTAAACGTGGGGACATGGAATGTCCGCACAGTATTTGAACCCAGTAAGGCAGCCCGGATTGCAGAGGAGATGAGAAGGTATCACATCGAAGTGCTTGGGATTTGCGAAAGCAGATGGAATGGGAGTGGACTCTGCAAACTGTCAACTGGAGAATCAATAATCTACTCCGATATTGTCACCCAGACGACAACCACGAGCACACTGAGGGAGTGGCTATCATGATATCCACAACAGCATTGAAGGCTCCCATGCAGTGGGAACCAATCTCCTCCAGGATCATGACAGCAAGATTCAACTCAAAAGGAAGAAAGGTCACAATCATACAATGTTATGCACCTACAAATAATGCAGAGCAAGAGAAAAAGGAGGAATTCTACAAACAACTTCAATCAACACTAGACAAGACCTCAGTTGGCGATATCAAAATTCTAATGGGCGACATGAATGCCAAGCTGGGAGGGGACAACACAGGAAGAGAACTAACCATGGGTGGAGAAGCGCTAGGTGAGGTGAAATGAACGAAAATGGAGAATTGTTTGCAGAATTCTGTGCATTCAACGATTTGGTGATTGGAGGCACTGTGTTCAGACACAAGGATATCCACAAAGCGACATGGATTTCACCAGATGGACACACTAAAAATCAAATCGACTTTATCTCAATCTCAAGAAAATGGAGACGCAGTCTACTTAACACAAGGTCAAGAAGAGGAGCAGATGTAGGTTCAGACCACTACCTAGTGCAAGGAACCTTCCAAATCAAGTTGAAAGCCTTCAAAGAAGCTGGTGATAGACCTCAATTTAAGTACAACACTCGGAAACTGAAGGATGAAACTACAAAGGAGATCTTCAAGGCAGCCATCAAGACAAAATGGGAGATATCCAGCAACATCCGTGAAGAAACCTGTGTGGAAGAACACTGGAAGTCTTTGAAAGCTATGTAGAAAGAAACCTGCACAACCGTATTAGGAAGGAAGAAGAAAGAAGACAAGGAATGGATCTCGATGGATACCTGGAAGCTGATAGAGGAGAGGAGGATGGTGAAGCAGAAGATGAACCAGTGCAAGGATGCTCAACGACAAGAACTGAGCACAATGTATAAAACACTGAACAAAGAAGTAAAGAAGAGTGCACGCAAAGACAAAAGACACTTCTACGAAACACTGGCAAGTGAAGCAGAACAGGCTGCAGGTAAGAGAGACCTGACGACATTGTATCAAACAACCAGGTTGCTATCAGGGAAGAGATCAACACAGATGAAACCAATAAAAGATGGTGACGGGAATTTAATTACGAAAGAAGAGAAACAGAGGAAACAATGGGCCGACCACTTCAAAAAGCTCTTGAATCGACCACCACCTGCACTTCGTCCAGAAATACCACCTACAGCCGCTGAACTACAAGTGAACATAAATCCTCCAACGAAAATGGAAGTCCTGAATGCCATAAAGCTACTGAAATGCGGGAAAGCAGCAGGACCAGAAGGGATACCACCAGAAGCACTGGGAACAGATGCAGAGACAACAGCCGACATGCTCACACCACTATTGTAGAAGGTGTGGAAGGAAGAGAAGGTACCTGGCTAGTGACTGGAAGAAGGGTTACCTTGTGAAAGTATCGAAGAAGGGAGACCTTAGTGTTTGCAAGAACTGGTGCGGAACCACTCTCCTGTCCACCCAGAGCAAGCAAAATATTAAGCCACATCATCCTGGAGAGAGACTAAAGGATGCGCTGGATTCAAAACTACGACCGGAACAGGCAGGCTTCAGGAAGTACAAATCATGTGCAGACCAAATTGCAACGCTTCGCATCATCATAGAACAGCATAGAATGGCAATCACCTCTCCACCTCAACTTTATCGACTTCGGGAAGGCCTTTGACAGCGTCGACCGAGAAGTAATTTGGAAACTGCTTCAATACTACGGAGTACCGCAAACCTTTATCCGCCTCATTCAACAACTATATGAAGATGCCACATGCCAAGTAATCCACAATGGGAAGCTCAGTGATGCTCTTGAAGTGAAGACAGGAGTGAAACAAGGTTGCCTACTATCCCCCATGATATTCCTTATTGTGGTGGACTGGATCATGCAGTAAACAGTGGGCAGCGAGAAGAGGGGGATACACTGGACTGCGGAAAAGAACCTAGAAGACTTGGATTTCGCCGATGACTTGTGCCTGATGTCACATAAACTTTGAGATCTACAGGCAAAAACTAACAAGTTGTTAGAAGAGGCAGCTAAGACGGGACTTCAAGTGAATATAGAGAAGGCAGACGTGATGAAGATACCGCACCACCACCATCAACAACAACAACAAACTCCAATCACCGTCAACGGGAGAAACTTGAAGGAAGTAACCTCCTTCACTTATCTAGGAAGCACTGTTTCAACTACAGGCGGGACGGACGAGGACGTCAAAGTCAGAATCGGAAAAGCAAGACAGGCGTTCATTAGCCTGAAACCAGTGTGGAGATCTTCTGCACTCAGCATGCGGAACAAGATTCGGATTTTCAACACCAACTTCAGTCAAGTCAGTGCTTCTGTATGGCTCAGAGACTTGGCGCGTCACGAAAGGGATTTCCAATAAACTACAAACATTCATCAACAACTGCTTACGCTCGCTACTGAAGATCAGATAGCCGGAAAGAATAAGCAACCAGGAGCTCTGGGAACAAACCAACCAAGAACCCATCGCTCAACAAATATGCAGAAGGAAGTGGAGATGGATTGGGCATACACTGAGAAGGCCGACTGGGGACATCGCGCGTCAGGCCCTCGAGTGGAATCCCATGGGAAGCGACGAGTTGGACGTCCGAGGGTGACATGGAGGAGGTTGTGCGAGGAGGAAATGAGAGCTTGTGGGCTGTCGTGGAGCCAGGTTCAAAAGATCTCAGAGAACAGAGTTTACTGGAGACGTGCTACTGAAGCCCTATGTTCTACTAGGAACCCAAGGGACTAATAATAATAATAGGGTATCTTTTTAAAATGATTTCTACCGAATAATGAAAGTAGCATGGTAAACACTGAAATCTATGGAGTAGCGAATAGATTTGGAATGTTTCAGCAACGCACACAAATTAATTGACAAGAAGTTGAGTTCAGAACCTTACGTCTCTGCAACTAGTAAGTCACTATACGGTTAGGATTTTGAAATCCGTCTTTTCTCAATGCAGCATATCTACTATTTAATGTTATCGATCTGTATCTATATACACCCTCGATATTGCCTTGACTCACAAGTAATTCGAATGAGATAAGAGTCATATTACTTCATAAACTGATCAAGATTGGACAACATAAAACCTGAAAGCTCCTAATCTATTGGTTGGGAGGTCATATAGGCATCCTAAAAACTAAGTATCCTCAGATTGCTAACATACAGGAAAATGGCCTGCACAACTGAGAAATTCCTAAAGAGAACGGAGTATGCACTACATCTCCAAGTATTTTCATCCATTTTATGTGCATAGCAGAAGCTGTTGTCAGTTTCTTGTACTCAACACTGACTTACACTCAAGTAAGCTAGTCCATTGACAACAGATGAAACTGCAGTTTTATTGATTATGATACCTTTCCTAAGGGTTAGAAGTAGGTATAGTTAGAAACTGCAACTCTTAGCAAGTGGTTTGAGTTAATCTGTGAGTGAACATTTCAAAAATAGCTTGTCTACACTAATATAAATAGTAAGGAGAACCAAAGTTAAGCTGAACAAACATACAGCACGTACCATACACGTCGACAGATCAATTAGACTTAAAACTATCCAAATTCTGCGTACCCTATGAAGTGCCTGTGTCAAATAGTCGAGTTTTTCAGTTTGTAACATGCCAGACTTCACGCGTAATTAAATGCTTATTCCATTTGTCTTAAAACCGGGGGAAGCATGATTGCTCGTACATCATTACAACTAATACCTGGTTAGTTTAAATGAAATCAGATACAAACTTTACCAAACTCAATTAAAAGACCATATTTTTAGCTAGTGGTTAGACTTTCGGAGACAGTCTCCGTTTTCACACCACCCTACCTTGATAATTTTAAAAACCTGATCGGCAATAAAATTCTAAATATGGTCTCTTAGTTGCTGGTGCATTACTGAACAACCTGCTGTAGAAACCTTACCGTTTTTAGAATTGTGTATAAAGTGGGAAATTATTATACTGATAAACTGAAAGGGATTTCAGAGAATGTTGAGATCTTGCTTGATATTATCTTCAATACTGTGCAAGCTTTTAAAATCTTCTTGGAAATTTCAATTGCTTATTGATAATTTTCTGTTGTTTAGATGTCCGAAAGATTTCATTCAGTTTTATGATGGATTTCAAATCGACAATACAAGTATCAGTGAAAATTCTATTGGTCAACGTTTATGTGATACTTCAGAGCATAATATGCATATTGTATCTAGTGGGCCAAGTTTAGTCATCTTGTTTGTAACTGGTCAAATACAATTAAGCCATGTAAATAGCAATAATGAGCATAATATGATGACAAATATTGTGAATTCAAGTCGTCGAGGGGTTAGATTACGCTACACGTTTACAAAAAAGTTACTACCCGTCAGTGAAATACCTGGAGGTGAACATATTCGTGGAACAGGTAAGATTGAGTAATGTTTTGGGCATTCGATTTAGTTCCATGCGTATGTTCTATACCTAGCGGTAGGTTCTAATAATAAGCAAGTTTTTAAAGTCGGGAATATTTTCATCGCTTTTTTGAAGTAATTATAACACTAGAATTTCATACATGAAAAAAACATCAGTAAAACGGTAGTTTCAACCGAAGGAACGTCGAATATGATGAAGGTGTTCACAAACAACACTTATTGTCATGACTGAAGAAAATATTGCAATATTGAAATTTATCAGCATTTTTCAAATTGTTTGAGCCAGCTGAAGTTCTATTGTGAACAGTATCACTAGGCACAACTCTTAAATGTGTATTGTAATGCTAAAATAAATGACTATTTTAATTTGGTTAATCACAGTTTCCTTTAATGGCTATGATCCTGAAGAAAATGGAGCTTGAAGCTATAATGAAACAGTCTAAATTGGCATCCACGTAATTAGCTAATTAAAAAACAGTAGGCAGGTATAACAAAGCTATTACGGTTTCAAAACTGCTATAGCCGCTAACGGTGCACAGTTACAGACTATCAGCCGCCAAAATTTTACAACTTCCCAGTTGATGTGCGACCCCACTAACTAATAAACAAGAAGATACAGTGGTACATGTGAGAACATGTATTTAGTAAAAAGACCCAGAGTAATGAATAAAAAGAATTACGTCAATTATATATATATATATATATATATGTCTGGCGCATAAAAATAATAATACTAACTGATTGGTCGTCTGCAGTCCAAGGGTAGATGTAAGTAACACAAAATACATTTTGATTGGTCCATTCTTGAACTAGTCTGTTGGACCCACTTATCACCTCCCTCTTTGGAAGCATGTTACTTGGGGTTAATCAGGAAACGCACAGTTCTTTTTCTGTACCTATCTGACCGATACGGAGGGAGTTTTTCTTTCTTACTTAAGGATCAGTAGTTTTCTCGATATCCTCTTCGCATGGTATCCTGAATTTATTTAGGAGGATATCTAGGGGAACCTGTGTGGTTGCAGTGCCTATCTCAGGACATGCGCATCATCGTATTTAGCTCTCGTGTTGAGTCCAAGTCTCACATCCAACTGCGACGCCGTAGATAGTGTTACTACATCCCCTAAAAATAGATCCGTCGATCCATTGATCATGTCACACTGTATTGTCTCTGGTAAACACTGGTAACCCAATTTAGAAGAATTTCAAGTCATCAGTAAATTAGCTACAGATAGCTTAAGAATCGAAGCACCGTTTATCGTTCACGCCTTCTTATCTGTCAGCGCTTTTTACGGAATTCGATGATTTGGAAGTGCGTCCATTGCTTTTGTCCTGTAGACGAACGAGAACTTTTGGATAAGGTCTACGGACGTCTCATTCTCCATTGAACATACCATAAGTTTTCCTGCTTGGCTGGTGGATTGTGAATAACATGGTATGCTGTAGGGTATGTGTAAGGCAAGAATCTTCGAACTGAGGATTCTTATCGGAAACCATAGTTACGGGCAAACCATGGCAGAAGAAAGTAGTAGCCAGCATATGTAAGATCTATATGATGGTTGCTGGGTTGAAAAGAGCTACTTCCGGTCAACATCAATCAAAATTAGATAGTGATTTCCTTCAAACTTTCCAGTAAAATTAATGTGAACAAGTGACCATGGGTGTTCAGGCTGGAACCAGAAGATTGGTGGCAGTGGTGGAGGATGCTTCACGGTTCTTTTTGCTTGGTAAACAGATAGGGCATCATCTCGGAGGTAAGAGATGGCTTGAAGGGCTGTACAACAGCCAAGATCAGTTTCGAAGATATTTAGAAAAAGCTGACTGACATCATTAAACGTCCACAAGATCTGTTTTTTGGTTACACATAATACTTAATGGTATATTCAACCATCCAGGACTCTCAGAACAATCAAGACACAAGAGATTTAAATCTACATCAGCAAGAAGAAAAACCGCACTTTTAGTAGTATTCCGAAATGATACATTGAATGAAATCTTTCCTTTCAATGGTAACCGGTCGCCACATGCACTTATAGCAGTTCGAAAAGTCCTCTGAACAGGGGTCATACGATCTTGACCATAGCTGTGGGGATAATGAATTCTCTACCTATCTGAAACTGCACTGAATAGTGGTTTGAACATTTTAGCGGGCAGGTGCCTGAGCAGGAAAAGCAGCTATCAAGCTAAACGATTTGCCTACAAATCGAGAGTGGCATCTGCGGTGGTGTCTGGAGCATGACCTTTGTAGACGTCGTTGTGTATGTTACCGGCGAAAGCCATCCCATAAGATCAACACCATTACAATCCCAGCACCAATACTGCCCATAGAGACAAGATTTGACGAAATCGCAAGCATCACAACGCCTGCAAAACGATGGGAGTACAATCTTTGAGCTCTGTTTGGTATCGGATATGTAACTGGGGGCGGTGGACAGACGACATAGGACCAGGAGTATTTGGCCAGAAGGTGACGCAGAGGAATGATGTGTCTGACGACTTGCATGTACTTTAGAACCACCCTGGCATCCGGATTGGCCTAAACTCGTGTAACACTACAGACTAACCAGTGATACCTGTGGATTTTGTTCCAAGCGGTTCAGTAAATTCATTCTGATGTCAGCAAACTTGGGTGACTGTAGGCTGCGGATGAGTTCTGAAGACTTATATTGATGGTCTGTAATAGATTCCAGTTTAAATCATTCACATTCGTGATTAGCAATACTAACATGGCTGAAGAAATCATTATTCTTGTACATAATCAGCTTCAGACAGCGGTATCGACCATTGAAAGGGATGGTTGACCACCAAAATGTTGTCTCGGTGTTTGAAACGTGGCGTCAAAAGTGTGTTCACGTGGGTTCTGAAGTAAAATCATTTTCCCACCTTGGTCGAGCTCAGATGGACCTAGCTTTAGAAGTAGGAGACGTACCTTCAAGAATTCATCTTAGCCAGCAAAATCCACTTAGAAATGGTCTTCACAACTCCTGAACTAAATAACAAAAGCCATACTACCATGGTAACTGTTGTGAAATCAAGTGATATTATTAGCGATTCTGTCATCTGAAGGCTTACTAAAACTGGCGTGGTAAGCAGGTGATGATTTAGTACCAGAAATTTTGGAGTGGGTAAGCAACTCGACAAACTTCATTTGTTGTTCGAGGAATTTTTCAAACTTCGAAAAATTCATTCTCCCAAATCTCTCTCTCAAGATGAATGGAAAGCTAACAAGACATTTATAGCACATGTTAGTTGGTGGGAGACAATCTGCGGGAAGCCCTGGATTTAGGTTTCGTGTTTGTTTGCACTCGTCAGCAAGGCTTATCTCCAACCTCGAGGGAGGTGATGTCCCTTCTGAGATCAGAATCAGCTTCACTAGTCATTGTATCTAATCCAGCCCTGCAAAAGGTTATTCGTGGTCCGAATAGCTCAGTCACTGGCTGCAATACTGGTTCGAATCTCAGAGCACTTCCTTGGAGGCTGCAGATACAATTTGCTGACGAGTGCCAACAAGCAGGAAACCCTCCTGACGATTACCTCCTACCAACTAACATCTTTCCAAGTGCACCATGATCCTGAGCCTCCTAGCCTGGTGGTCATACTGCCAAATAATCGAAAGAATTCGGTCAGTACTCAGGACTAGACAACATGAAATTGGTTACCCTCCAGTTACCAATCAGTGTAGATAGTAATCATCATACTAAGGCTTTCCAACTACCCACTTCAGTAGTACACATGCCAATAGCCAACCATTACCAGTTAACGAGTTCTCACGTACTGACCTGACCATCCAGAGGCACTTCAAATTAGATAGTGAAAGGTGTTAGTGGTTTGGCAAATAAGGCTTCAGTTCCAAACATTCCACTCAATGCATTGATAATGTTTGCCAGAAAACATATTTTCTTCATTTTCTACCCAATTCATAGTCCGTATACAATCCACTCATTTGATCTCTTCCGAAGGATTGATGAAAGGTATCGGTAACAAAATACAGTTAACCTTATACACCAAACTACATCATTATACCACATACAAACTGCCTAGTCTACTATCGAACAACCATTTGATATCATAAATAACTATCTGCGTATATGTAACCTTCACAAAATGCCTATTTAGTAACCAATAAGAATAACACTAGATGTGACACAATCACGTATTGTTCCGGACGGCACATTGGCAAAGTGATGGGAAAATAGCAAAAACAAAGATTTTAAAAATGCACATAACGGTGTCCAGCGTTACATTGCAACTGCGAGATTGTAATGACACATTGTGAAGACAGTAAAAATTTATGATTGTCAAACCTCAGAGATATGCGGGACGAGAAAACGAGGATGCTTATTCATCACTGTGATTAATTTTCAGCCATGTTTCCAGGTATCCATCCCTCTATTTTGATTGTTTCACTGATTGAAAATACATAGCTCAGATAATTAGCCGGTTACTTCATCTCGAAGTTTTCAGTATGGATCAAAACCAGTCAGAGAACGAATAAAAGCAGGTAACCCTGAATGGCTGATTTGCCAAAGTTTAGGGTCTTTCAGCACTCCACACTCAAAACACTTTACGGGATCGAACCCATGACCGTACGGTTTCACGACTAGTCAGTTATCATCCAGACAAAGATACACATTTTTCAACTTCTGCGCTAGATATTGACTACATTCTAGGTATGTTTAGTGAGGTTGCCTGTGGGCTAAATCAAGCCAGACGTGTAGGCACATACTGTTCATTGGCACTGAACCATGGTAACGCTGTGCCACAATTTGATAGGTATGGAAAAAAAGCAGAAAACTCAGTTTGCTAGCTGTGAGATCAGATAGTCTTGGGCTTAATCCTACATGGAATTGTAAGTTCATAGCGTCGAGGATTTCTAAACTAGGTTTTCATTGATTCAATACTTGATGTCAGTTTTTGGTTGGAAAAAATCAGGCTACTGAATTAAACTTGTCAGCTGAAAAAATAAAGAAAATTAGACGAATCCGAGAAAGCATTC